ATCTCTCTTACATTAAAAAAAATTGTGTACTTTCACAAAGGCCAACTTCCAATTACTAAAAGTATAATGGAAAAATTATCTGAGTTAGTTTCAGGAGCGAGGAAATATATACATTGAAACATTATCTCTAAATTAACATCATTTCCCTTCTCACTAATATTGAATTTTCAGATTTAATAATCCACTGAATAGAATACCAATTTCCATAAAGAAGGGAAGGAGGGGAGAAAGAGAAAAAATAGGGTGGAAGTACAATTTTTAAAGTCCCTTATACTATAAAAAATAAGTAACAATCAGGAAAGAATATTTTTAAACTCTTAGATTAAATGTGTTATATTAAACTAGATTTTGGATGGAAAATGTGATTACATGATGATTATTTTATTTTAAGATGGTATGAGCGATTGATCTATTTATTCACTTCTATGTTCCACAAGAGTATTCAGTTGCCTATTATGTGCCAGGCATTAATCCAGGTTCCTGAGATATACCAATGAGCGAAACAGACAAAGATCTCTGTCCTCCAAAGGTGTATATTCTAATAAGAGGCAAAAATAGACATTATAAGTAAGTAAACAAGGTAGTATACAGAAGGTGATGAATGCTATTTTAAAAAGACAGTAGAGAGCTGTGAGCTCAGGTATGCTGGCGGTGGCTGGTAGAGGTCACATTACTGAATAGGGGGGTCGAGGCAGCCTCACTGGTAAGTTGGGATTTGCACGACATGGTGAGAAAGTGAGATAAGCTGGTAGCTGGGGGAAGAGTGTTCCAGAAAGAGGGAACAGTTGGAACAAAAATCCTCAGATGGGAGAAGTGTGAGGAACAGCGAAGAGGCTGGAATGAATTGAATGAGGGTGAGCGTGCTCGGAGATGCGATCATTTAGGACTCTGTAAGATACTGGGAGGGCTTAAGTCCTTACTGAAGGAAGCGAGTGCTAGTGCAGAGCTTTGAACGATGGTGTTTTATTTAAGATTTAAGATATGAATGGCTGCTGGGTTGAGAAGAGACCACAGAGGGACAAGGGTGGAAGAAGGGAGACTGGCTGGGAGGCTCCTGCAGTCCAGGTCCACAGTTCCTCAGCCACAATGCTAAAGTCCAAAACCTAGCCTAAATAGTGTTAGTAGCCAAGTCAGTGTCAATACTCATATGTTTCCTAGAAGCACTAATATGCTTCAGTGTATAATATACAGCATATTCACCTTATTACTTTTCTAAAATCTGAAAAATGCTGCATTCCACAACTGTATCATCTGGATACAGGATTCTGGACCTGTACTCCAGGGGAAGGATGGCTGGGGCCAGAGTGGTAGCACTGGAGATACTGAGCAGTAGCCACACTTCAGATGTGATGTGAAGGCAGGGCTAACAGGATTCCTGCATACGTTGGATGTGGGTATGAATAGCAATTTAAGGTGACTCTAAGTTCCTTGGTCCTAGCAATTGGTAGGATGGAGGGGCCATCTCCTGTAGTGGGAAAAGCTGTGGTTAGAATGTGTTTGGGGTGTTGATCAGAGACCATTAGAAATGGAGTTTGAGACCTGTATCTTCATCCAGCTGGAGAGCTTAAACCAGCAGGTAAGTCTAGAGTTTGGGGAAGTCTGGGCTAGAGATGTATTTGTGTTATAATTTTTTTTCAGTCTTTTCTTGGGGGACACACACACATAAACACACACACATTATAAAGAAAAGCAGTGTTTAACAACCTCTTCCATTAAACCAATATGTATCTTTCAATGTAATGAAAAATACAACTGAAGTGTGGGGCTATTTGAAGATGGCCCAACAGTGGCTATAGTCGACACTCCCTGAAAATTCATAAATTGAAGAGAGCCAAAGTCCGATCAGCAGAGAATAAGGATGGCTTAAGAAACGATTATACTGGAAGCGAAGAAAATATTCGATGAATAAATGGTCTTGAACTAAAAGAATGTTCAGGTTCCTTTCTGTTTTCACAATGAATAAATACCAGTTATTTGTTCTGAATTAAAAACTTAGAACTTCTCCCGTATTTGGAATATACGCTATAATCGCCAGACAGCAAATTTAAGAAGTGTCCAGAATATCCTCATCCGTGCTAACATTAACCAGCAGCCACGGCTGAAGATGAAATGAGAGTGGAATTTAATTTTTGGCAGGAGTGTCCAAAGGCAGCAGTGCTATCTGTGGCATGCAACAGCCCTGGCGCAGGATCAAGGCAATTCTTTCCCAGGGCACGTCTTTAAGTTCACACTCTCTTAGAATGAGTGCTCTCAAACTTCGTCAGAACTCCGTGCCTCCCTAGTTTGAGCCTGCTAAATTCTGTTAGTGAACTTCAATGTTATTTTTAATTCACATGTGTGTTGGGGTAGAGAGGGATAACGGGAAGAAAGAGAGACTTTTAAACAAGAGAACACATTAAAAGGCTCAGGAAGAGGTTGAAAAATGGCCAATTTCAGTCTGGTAGTAAGGGAAAAATCTCTTCTTCCTTCAAAACTTCTTTACCTCTAACTCCATTGGTGGGACCACCCTTTACCAAGTCACTGATTAAAAATCTGGAGTCTTTAATTCAACCTGACTCCAGTTTAGATCAAACCACCAGTTTACAGCATATACAAGGGGTAGCTGTTCAGGTTTTCTCATCAATCCTTACTTAGCTCAACCCTCCAGCCTGCTGGCAATCTGTTGCATGTGCTATGCTGCTTCTTACCCTTGTGTCTTTGTTGTGTTGTTCCCATAAACTATAATGCTTTCTTTTTTTTTCACTCAAGAAGCCTCTCCTCCCCACAACTGTCCCTGCCCAAAGATGGGTTAGGTACCTCTTCGCTCTACTCCCACAGTGTGCCACACAAATCTCTTTCACTAACATAGTCCCACAGTTATCTTCTGGGCAACTGTCTTTTCCACCAGATTATAAGCTTTTCTGTTTTACCTTTGTAAGCCCAATGCCTGCTACAGGGCCTGGCATTCTAAAACATGCTGACAAGGTTTACTGACTGAATGAATGAACACTTAGATTAAAAGTAAAATGGCACACGTTATATTAAGTTCCCCACCTCTGAGAGTTTTCAAACAAATCTGAGAAATCTCACACTGGATAGGAGCTGTGATCTACTATATGACTTTGCTATGCCTTCCATTTCAATTCACTATCTTATTTGCCCAGTTGGCTGACTTTTATATATAGCTGTTTATAGTATTTAACAATAGGGATATATGACTTACATTCTGTATACCTAATTCTTTTTATGAATTTTATTCTTATTCAAGACATGGCCTTTGGTTGAAATGCCATCATAAAAAAGCTAATTAAAAATATGCTAACACAAAAGATCCCAAATAGCCAAAGCAATCCTGAGAAAGAACAAAGCAGGAGGCACCATACTTCCTAATTTCAAGCTACACTATAAAGGCCCAGTAATCAAACAGCATGGTACTGGCAATAAAAACAGACATATAGACCAATGGAACAGAATCAAGAGCCCAGAAATAAACCCAAACACATAAGGAAGGTCAAATAATATTTGACAAGGGAGCCAGGAATACTCAATGGAGGAAAGACAGTCTTTTCAATTAATGGTGCCGGGAAAATTGGACAGTCACATGCAAAGGAATGAATCTAGATCTCCACTCACAAAAGTTAACTTGAAATGAATTAAAGACTTGAACATAAGACCCAAAACCATAAACCTCTAGAATGAAACACAGGAATAAAGCTCCTTGACATGGGTCTTGGCAATGATTTTTTTTTTTGCTACAACACTTAAAGCACAAGCAACAAAATAAAAAATAAATAAGATGACATCAAACTAAAAAGCATCTGCACAGCAAAAGAAACCGTCAACAAAGTGAAAAGACAACCTATGGAACAGGAAACAAATTTGCAAATCATATATCTTTCAAGGGGTTAATATCTAAAGTATACAGAGAACTCATACAACTTGAGAGCAAAAAACCAAATAATCAAATTAAAAGTGGACAAAGGACCTGAATACACATTTGTCCAAAGAAGATATACTAAATGGCCAATAGGTACATGAAAAGATGCTCAGCATCACTAATTATCAGGGAAACGCAAGTCACAACCACAGTAAGATATCACCTCACACCAGTTAGAATGGCCATTATCAAAAAGACAAGAAATAACAAGTGTTGGGGAGGATGTGGAGATAAGGGAACCCTTGTGCACTGCTGGTGGGATTGTAAATTGGTGCAGCCACTATGGTAAACAGTATGAAGTTTCCTCAAAAAATTAAAAATAGAACTACCATATGACCCAGCAATACTAGCTCTGGGAGTATATCCAAAGGAAATAAAAATATGTTAAAGAGGTATCTGCACCCTCATGTTCATAGTGTTATTTACAATAGCCAAGACATTGAAACAACCTAAGTGTCCATTGATAGATGAATTAATGAAGAAGATGTATGTGTATATACACACGTACATATATATAGGGAATACTAATGAGAAAATCCTGCCATTTGAGACAACATGAAAGGACCTTGAGGATATTATGCTAAGTGAAATAAGGCAGACAGAGAAAGGCAAATACCATATGATCTCACTTACATGTAGAATCTTAAAACAAAATAAAACAAACTTACAGAAAAAGAGATCTATCTGTGGTTACTAGAGGTAGGAGGTGAGGGAAGGGGGAACTGGATAAAAGTGGTCAAAAGGTATGACTTTAGTTATAAAATTAAATAGGATAAACTAGGGATGTAATGTACAACTTTAATGACTGTAGTTAAAACTGCTGTATGACATATGGAAGTTGTTAATCAAGTAAATTCTAAGATTTCTCATTCCAAGAAAAAACATTTTTTCCTTTTTGTTGATTTTGTGTCTATATGAGATGATGGATGTTAACTAAAGTTACGTATATCATGAAATGATTACCACAGTAAGTTAAACCATTATGCTTAACTCTTTAAACTCATACAGTGCTATATGTCAATTACATCTCAATAAGACTGGGGGAAAAAAACCCTCAAAAAATGTGCCAACAATTATAACTTACTAAAGACGTCTCCTCTGGGTTTCTGAGGCTCTGTCTGTATTCTGTTGTCAACTGTAATCCCCCTTGGAGAGGTAGTGGTAACTGGTGCTACAGTTGTCAGTCTGGTGGTTGGTCTTTCTGGGGTTGTTGCTGGTGGAGGTGTTCCGGGTTCTGTGGGTGGTGGTGGAGGTGGGGTAGGCTGTGGCATCGGCTCTGGTGTAGGTCTTGTTGTTGGCTTAGAAGTGGGCCTGTTGGTAATGACAGGAGGTACGTATGGTGTCTTCAGAGGCCACCTAGTACTTCTGACATCAGGAATCCAATTACTGTGTCCTCCATCACCCTTTGAAATGGTACCATTTCCCCTTGGTAAGTGAATTGGACCCGAAGGCTCAATCATGACTTTTGGAATATCTAGAATAGTAAATATATTTAAATTAGTGTGTAACCATCTCTCCTTAAAAAGTAAAATATCAAATTGTAAAAAACACACATATCAGAATACCTCATGCCAACTAGGCTTACTTTTCTCGTTTAGAATACTCCCCTACTGTAAGTCATATCATTTTCCAAAAAAATAAATACGTGTGTGTATATATAATATATACATATATTCATACACACATATATCCATCCTGTGGATGTATGCAAAAATGACCAGTATTTCTGTAATGAATATGTACCATTTGAAACAAAAAGTTTCAAGTATTTGTAAAGTAGAAAAAGACAAGAATGAGATTTTTTTTTAAAATGCAGAGACATTCTAAGTTTTTTAAAATATGAGGAACATATATTTAGAGCCTATGTTAAGTGTGGTACATGTACATTATAAAGTCATGCTGAAAATGTCTAAAGACTTAATACTCTTCCCTCTTCCACACTTTACATAAATTGAATTCATACATTTTCATTAAATTTTCTACATATGGTTTTATAGTTGGTTTACTTTCACCTTGCTGATTTTATACAACTGCTTTGTAAAAAAAGTTTCACAGGTCCCCAAGACTATCTGTGGAAGCTTTGTTCTTGATTGCATTCACCAAAAGGAATTAATATTTAATCTTTCTGGAATGATATACTTTAGACTGGCAGTATGACTACAAGACCCATCAAAATCCTTTAACCTTCATGATTTTATGCCCCATTCTTTCAGTCAATATTTTACTCCAGAAATTTAAAAAATTATCTACTGTTGCATGAAATGTATGCTCAGTGATGGCCTTTGGTCTGTGAAACTTTCACCTTGGAGGGTATTTTTTTTTCATGTTTATCTACTAACAAATAGAGCTTGTAAAAATTTAAATAGCAGAACAGTTCAAAATGTAGAAAAATATGGAAATGACTTTTTTAATAGTAGAACTGGAGGCATAAAACAGGAACAAAAATGTAGAATTCATTCAGATTATCCCACCATTATAACCTAATGCTAATGACAAACATACATTTATTTCTGATTATAACGAAATCAAATTCTCAGGGAGGGCTCAGTAATTTCTTGCCAGCTAAAGGGAAGCTACTGGGAGATTTTAGTCAAGGAACTAAATGCTTTTAAGATTAGAATGTATTACTGAGTCTTTAATTTTTTAAAACACCTGAGCAACTGATTTTTTTGTTTGTAGAAAGCACAGACTAGTATTAGTATGAAAATTATATGTCTTTGATAATTAATCTTGTTCCTTATCTTCCCTGGTAATGGCCTTTGTGTAATCTTGTACTTTCTGCTGGAATTTAGAGCTGGGAGACAAGCGTTACTCACACACACAATTCAGTCCATCACCCTGGTATCCGTCTTTACATTTACACTTGTAGGACCCATGTACGTTGTAACATCGGGCAAAGCTGCTGCACTGATACTGACCAAGGGAGCATTCGTCTATATCTGCATCAGGAAGGAGGAAAAGAAGAGGTTTATTTGCGAGATAAATATGATGGCACAAAAAGATACACCATTTCAAAAAATTTTTTTTGCAATGTGAAGGTCCATGTAAAATCTGCAGATAATCAGAAGAAAAAAGTCCATGTGCATCCAGAACTACTAGTTTTGAATTTCACTTCTGTTTGTTTCATTTAAAGCCAGTGCCCTCTCCTGCCCTTGACAACCCAGTCACCACCATAATTAAGAGACCTTTCCGCTCTGCAGGAAAAAACAACACAAAGCAATGGTTGGAGTTTATTACCGTGACATTGGTATTTGCCTCCAATGTACATGAGGTCGAAGCCTTTATGACATTTGCAGATGTAACTCCCAAAAGTGTTGACACACTGCCTGAATCTGGGGCAGGAGGCTCTTCCGGTGGCACATTCATCAATATCTAGAAACAAGGGTCAACTGTATCTTAGGAAGAGCAACAGCATGTTCAGGTGGAGTAAATTTTAAAATAAACAATTGTCTGCAAATGGTTGCCTGGCACACAGTGGCTCATCATAAATGTCATCCAGCTGGTCGCCCTGACAGGCAACATAAACTGCGTACCTCCAGATTTCAGCTCATCTTCTAACCCAAGCTGCCCTCCTCTTGCTCTTACGGCACCTGTATCCCCCTGGTTGCTCCAACCAGGGTCATGAGTCATCCTTGACAATTCTATTTCCCCTAACCCCCAAATCATCGAGCCCAGCTGATTCTACCTCCGACACATTCTTTGAACTTGTTTACTCTGCATTTCACCCAACGCCATGACCCTAGTCCAAGCCACTATCTCCTGGGATAGACTATTACAAGAGCCTCCAAACTGGCGTCTTCCCCACCAATCTTCCTCCGTCCAAAGCATCTCCACACAACTGCCAACAGAGAATTTTATAAGACATAAGATGGGAGCATTACCATGCTTAAAATTCTTAACTGTTTCTACTTGCTTTCTGAATTAATTCTTCATTCTTCACCACATCTTTGAGGGCCCTGCAATGAACAGTCCTCACCTACCTCACTGGTTGTGTATCAAGTCACCATGTCTGTACTTAAGGATAACGCCTTCTTTCTTTCAAAACCTCAGACAGGCCAGCCTCTCTTTCACTGCAGGGCTCTGCAATGTTTTCACCTGCTTGGCTGATTCTTCACATGGCCAATGGCCCATGCCTTACTTTATGGCTTTCCCTGACCATCATTTTCTAAAATAGACCCTTTCTGTCCCTCTTTCTTAGTACCTCATATTAACACTTGGTATTGTTTGTAATTTTATTGGATAGCTCTTTTTTTTCTGTCTCTCCCATCAGAACATCAGCTTTGGGAGGATTAAAACGTGTCTGCTTTGTCCACTACTATATAGCCTAGCACTTAGCATAGTACGTGGCATATGGAAAGTCCTCAATAAATATCTCCTGAGTCCCCAAACACCTCCACCCATTCAGTGCTTACTAGATGCTAGATACTATGCTAAGCATTTTGCATACATGGTTTCATTCGATCCTCACAAGGGTTCTATGTGGCAGTACTCCCATTTTAAAGATGAGAACAATCAGCTCAAAGAAAGGAAATCTCTTACCGAAGGTCACATATCAAGTATATGGCAAAGCCAGGTTTGAAATCAAAGCCCAGACTCTTAAGCACAATCCTTTACTGCCTTCCTAATTTACAGGGAAAAAATCTAACTCTTTAGTGCAATACATACCATCTAGCCCTGTCCACCTGTTCAGCTTTGACACTCATTGCCTGTTACATTCTAGCAATACTGACCTCTACTTGTTTCCCTGAACATTGTGCTTCTTTAAACTCCAGTGCCTTTGCTCATGTGGTTTCCTCTGCCTGAAGCTTCATCTTGCCCCTCATTTTTTAGGGAAACAAGGTTTCCATGGTCCTTTCACAGAGAGGGGTCCCCTTCCAAGATAAGGATAGCTCATCACCTGATGTAAGTAAGTGTCCTTTTTCCTTCTATCCATCACATTTCATTTCTTCCTTATCCCAGAGAGGCTGCTGACAGAGAGGCTTCACTTTACAACTCACCCACACAGGTCCTCCCATCAGGAGCCAGCTGCAGGCCAGGAGAGGGGCACTGGCACCGAATCTGCCCTTTGACAACATCACAGCCATACTGACAGTTTGCCATGGAGCACGTCAGGGCACCTGGGAAGAGAGTGACTGTCTGACTCAGGGAGTTGGTCAGCATACTCTGTACCCAACGTAACTATGTTTTCTATCTGTCCTGAAATCAATGACCCACAATTAACAACGGAGATGAAAAGGTCTTAACTCTCCAACAGTCTATAAAGAAACTCAAAAACAGGGGGAAGGACAGAAAGACCTTCCTCCTCCAGGGATGATGCAGAAGTGATCCAGATCTTTTGTCACCAGGGAAAGCTCTTTGATGCATTTAAAGAATAAAGGCAAATGTAAAACTTTATCTCACAGAGAGAACCTGGAAATTTTTCCAATGGCCAAGGAAAATGCAGAATTGAGGTATTTTTCTAGATTACTCGAGCTAAGTGCTGGTCGTAACTAAAACATGCAAGTAACTGCCTCAGCCGCCCATTAACTTTCTCAAGCCACAGCAGGAGACTTCTCACTGAGCTGCCAATGTTAGAGGATTCCAGAGGATCACTTCCACATGTTAATAAACATGAACTCACCTCGTTGCAAAAAGTTCCATGCTAAATATGCCATGATGAATAAAAGTAGCTAAGCTTTTTTGTTATAAAATGCAACCAGTTAACTGACTGATAATTATTTGATTTAACTGATAGTTCAGTAAAAATAAAAATCAAGCCATCAATTGTTGGAAATCATAGAACTACAAACTCGATTGAATGTTCAGCCTGCAGAGAATTTGGGGGCATTGTCCAACTTATAAACACATCCAAATGATAGTAGGAAACACCACACATTTCTTTCTTCTAAAGGCACACAAAATCTATTTTTGTTATTATAATCATTTTTTTTATTTGAAGTAGGTCTTTTTTTTTTTTTAGTAAAAGAGGTATAACTTAGTCTCCAGACTATTATAAAGAACTGTAAAAATAAAGTGAGGAGATACTTATGGATGGTTCACACTCAGTCACCAGACTGGATTCTCTACCAGCTAACAGTTTAGGGGCCCTCATTACGGACGGCACAGCAGTCCTCAAATAGTCACTAATGTTGTTTTTCTACCTGGAATCGTTCTATGCCCAGATAGAAGACGGGGGGAAAAGTGCTAAGAAAAACATTAGAAAATACACTAGTTCTGTGATTCTTGTTCTAAATACAATTTCCAAATCAATTTACCATTGGCACCCAGGGTAAAAGAATGCCAGTTATCTGAAATGGGCAGCCCTTATTTTGATTTTCCATTCCTCAGGCACACACACACACACACACACACGCGCGCGCGCGCGTGTGTGTTGAGGAGGAGGGCTGAGAGGCCACTTCCACACTCTGCCAGAGCACAGCGTGAAAGCAAGCCCAGAGCACTCAGGAAGCAGTTAAGATTCTTCACATACCCGAGCAGGACCCGTCTGGCAGGAGCATGTACCCGCTCAGACAGTAGCACTTGTAGCTGCCGTACGTGTTCATGCACCTGTGCTTGCAGGGCCGCGGCTTCAGGCCACACTCGTTCAGGTCTGAAAAGAATGGAGTTGAAGCAGAAAGATGACAAAGCCGCAAGCTAACGCACATCACTGAGATACTTCTCTATGTTGAAGAATGAAAGAGAAGTCAGTCAAGCTATTGTCACCAGTCATGTACATAAGAGATAGTGCCTGTTCACAATGTCTGCATTTCAATGCAGGTGACACTGAAATGAAGGCGACCAGGAGTCTTCGACCAGAGGTGCCGTGTGAATTTCTGGAGCTTAAATAATATAAAGGGCAGTTAGGAAGATTCTCCTCACAGACACATAGTGTACCATCCCTAGAAAGAGCAGCGTGAAAACCATCTATCTGACTCCAAAATCCTCACAATCTCTGGGTTACACTGCTAGATTCACTCCTGATAATGGGAGCTTCCTCTTTCAATTTCTTCCTGTCTCTGTTTAAAGAAGACACTGTGTGAACCTATTTTAGCTTACAGAAAGCACATAGACTTTTAACATTAGACTTGCTTTGACCTTCCCAGAGAAAAGCTTGTTTTTCAGAGGACAAGAAAAAATGTGGGAAAAAAAATGCAAGCAGGGCTGTGATAAATTGATTAGAGTGATCACTATTGTAGTTCTTCTTGTTCAATCTTATAGAACCTATACTGATCTCAGATTTTCGGGGGGGGGAGGTAATTAGACTTTGATCTCAGATTAAACAAGAAACTTCAATTTTCTACTATAGTAAAGCACTCAAGTCACAAAATGAACTAAAAAAAAGACCCGCTAACATATTTTCATCATTCTGCAGTTAAGGGCATATGGAAATACTAATGGACAATACATGATAGACTATCATTACATATCTCAGGTTTAAATATCAATATGAAATGAATGAATAAACTTCGCTTTATGAGAGTTTTCTAACCCAAGTTGAACACTGCCTCTAGTGAACATAAAACTCATGACAAATAAACACTGAAACAGTAGTGCCCCAAAATACAGACTTCATTAAAAAGAAATATGACCACATGTTTATTTTGTCTGGACTTGCCAGCATAGGCATCTGATTAGCACAATTTAATTATCCATTAAGCCATGTCCTCAAATTAGAAATATAGATATTATCGAGTTACAAGTTGTTTTCAGTCTAACCAAATTTAAACCTGCTCAATTATTAAAAAGCTGTACATATTAATATATATACTTAATGTAACCACCAAATTACATTTTTTTAAACCATCAAATAATTATTTCACCTAAATTTTAAAAAATATTTTACTGACTTCTCAACTTGGCCTTTTTGTTAACCATAAGCACAACTATAAGCAGGTCCCCAGCTGGATGAAGCCTGGAAAAGGTTAAATAAATAAACCAGATACCTTTGTCATCTCCTATGTGTTCTTCAATTTCTAACTTCAGAGTCTCTTGCCCAGTCAAGGATATTCAAAACAGAATCACTTTTTAAAGTATTTTTTAAAAATTTCCTTGAAGAAGGTACTTTGCAAGTTATAGTACCCACAAAAATTTGATTTCTCCTTCATTTAAAATGAAGTAAAATTTTTCAATCAATGAGGAAAAACAGAGAAAGAAATTCATTCCACTTGTCATATTCTTCTACCTTGTATTTCAATATGGGGATCTTTTCTCATGTTTGAAGAGGAGTTAATTATCATTCCTAATATGTCCC